GTGTCATGCTGGGGATGGGGGGGGCGGGGGGGTCTCACTCATAAAGCAAGCGTAGAGCACATATGTGGCTGTCTGCAGCAGGTTGTTGGGGGCATATGTTGTCTAGGCAGCTTATATGTATGGTATCACACGTGTGTGCAGAGGCTCATATGCTGGTGCTGCATCGAGCAGCCAGGCCAGTTGGATGCTTTGCAGAGTATCCTTCACCCCTCCCTGACTGTCTGTAAGGAAGGGGTTCCCACTCTGGCAGCAGAGCCAGCCAACTCCAGGGCACAGGGGACGACGGCTCCAGCTCAGTGCAGCGCAAGCAACTCTGTATTTCACTTGACACATTTCATCCTAGAAGTAAATAAGTGGTGCACAGGCAAGCAGTGGCTCTGCAGGGATGGGGCTGGGAGCTGGGAGCCCTGCACCTGCCCTATTCAACTTGGGACCCCCACGTGCCAGAGCAGCAGCACACCGGGCAGGCTGCTGGTCCCCAGAGTTGGCACAGGGGATGGGGTGAGGGGATGACAGCAAGGGCCTGCCCAGTGCTACCTCTGTGCGCATGCCTCCAACCCAGGGAGGCTCTGGCGGCCCAGCTTACCCTGGGTGCAGGCCACACTGCCACATGGAGGCTGCAGATGAGTCTGACCTTCCAGCCACGAGTCGCCCCTGACCTAGGCTGGCAGAAGAACCCAGGAGTCCTGGTTTCTAGTTCTCTTCTCCCACCCTGGGGTACAATCCAAGCTGCCCCCCATTGCTTGTGCTGGAGACCCCCTGTGTCGCAGCATCCACTTGTTTGCAGGGTGTGTACAACGTGGGAGCATAACACTGTGCTCTTGCTTGTGTCTCCTAGGTGAAACGGCAGTCTCCATGCATTCCCCACGCTACCCCAGCCCGGCTGAACTGGACGCCTATGCACAGAAGGTGGCTAACAACCCCTTAACCATCAAGATCTTTCCCACCAACATCAGGGTTCCGCAGCACAAGCACCTTAACCGGACAGTCAATGGGTACGACACCACGGGGCAGCGCTACAGCCCGTACCCCGTGCACGCCGGTGGCTACCAGGGCCTCCTGGCCATCGTGAAGGCCTCCAGCAAAAGCGTGGTGAAGAACGCGGAGGGCAAGCGGACTAAGATGTCCCCCGCGCAGGTGGGTGTCGCCCCCTACCCAGTGTCAAGCACTTTAGCTGCAGGCCCCGCCTGCGCCGGGCAGTTGAATTACCACGGGGCCCAGAAGCAGATCGAGGCTCCAGTACCCCCGAACGTGACTGTGGCGACGTCCGTGATCCCGCTCGCGGGCCGGAGCCTGACGCTGCCACAATCCAACCTGCCCTCGATCCAGAGCATCATCTACCAGATTAATCAGCAGTGCCAGGCCCAGGGCTCCCAGCAGGCCTGCCAAGGCGTGGTGGTGACCAACCCCAGCCCGGCCAAGCACGGTGCCACCGCCAGCTTCGCCACTATGGCAACAGCTGGCGCTGCCGTGGCCTATGCTGGCGCACTCCTGCCAGATTGCCGCAAGGGAGCCGACCTGGCTATCGGGTCGAACCCAGCCCTAGCCATGGGCCCCAAGGCAGCCGTCTACCCGGACGGCATGGATTACCTGCTGTGGCAGCAGAAGCAGCAGCAGCTCCGCATGTACAGCGGGGGCAGCGGCGGGGGGGGCGCCGTCAGCAAGTCTCCGGAGACATGTGCGGGGGTGTCACGGCCCTACAGCCTGACAGGGGCAGCGGAGAAGGTGAGCTCATCCCCGTTGAACTGCGTGGGGATGCACGGCAACTTCTCAGTGGGGCAGTACTTTGCGCCCCCCTGGAACAGCATCCTGGTCACCCCCAACAGCGACTGTTACAACCCCCCCGAGCTCGCCAACGGGCACCGCGAGCTCGCCGTGCACCCCTCAGATGGGCTGCCCAGCAAGACCCTCTGCAATACCTCCATCCTCAGCAGCAGCCTCCAGTCGCTGGAGTATCTCATCAACGACATCCACCCGCCCTGCATCAAGGAGCAGATGCTGGGCAAGGGCTATGAGACGGTGTCTGTCCCCAGACTCTTGGACCATCAGCACGCCCACATCCGCCTGCCCGTTTACAGATAAGAGACTGCCACTGCTTTCCAAACACAGGGCGCTGGCGAGAACGGGACTGACAGCCACTCTCCTCTCCAGCACCGCCAGGGGATGTGATGGAGCGAAGGCGAGGGAGGGGGGGGTGGGCTTGGCTTGACGCGAGGGAAGGCCCAGGTGGGTCCCCCCCCACCAGAGACGCTGGAATGCACTGGGGCCGTCGAACTGGACATGCCCGAGACCCGCCGCAAGGCCGAGGAGGACGGACTGCTTGCTTACATAGCTCAGAAATCGTTTTCTTTCCACGAATGTGAACAGGGAATTGCTACATGTTGCTGCTATCCAGGGAGAGAAGGCTTCACTCTGTGTATGTGAGTGTGAGTGTGAGGGAGTGTGCGCAGGTGTGCGTATGTGTGCGTGTGCGTGTGCGTGTGCGTGTGTGTGTGCGCATGCCAGCCAGAGTGGCATGGCAGGAGAGAGCCTCAAATCCGGTCCCACACTGAGGTCTGATGAGAGTTTTAAATAGAGAGAGAGAGAGAGAGAGAGAGAGAGAGAGAGAGATGGTCCCAGCCCCTCCCCTGCCCCCGGTAACTCCATGCAGCTTGGTCACAACCAGAAAGAGCTAATTTTGCCTAATTCCTAGTCGAAGTCCGTAACTTGCACTGCTTTGAGTAAAGCTACCAATCTGGGGACAGTCTGGAGGCTATTTAAGTAAAGAGGAAAAAAAACACTTGAAAACTTGAACAGATTATTTTTGAGTTGAAGATACTGTACATTTTCTGTGTTGGCTGCTACAGGAAGAGTCTCCTCCTCCCCTTCCCCCACCCTGCCCTGCCCTGCCCCGCCCCAGCCCGCACCGCTTGGGCCTCGTCCATTACTTTAATGAGCCCCTGAGTTTTTGATGCTTTTCTAACCGGACCCATTCCCTTGCCTGGTTGTCGGCACCGCAGCCGGAGAGCGGCGCCACGCTACAGAGCCGGGGAGCAGGCTCTACGTTTAAGGATATTTTACCCTCCTCATTCTTCTTGCAGGTTTTCCAAATATGCCCATACGCCCAGCCCAGCCCAGAACCGCCCCGGGTAGAGAGACAGCCTGAGAGGACAAAAGCGAGAGGAATAGAGGGCAGGCGAATTACCCACAACAGATCCCACACTTGGACCCTGCCTCCCTTTTGTAAAATGCCCAGGCCCCCGACCCCACCCCACCGAAGGAAAGAAGCTGGGGCCCCCTCCCTTCCTCACCGGCAAGCCCACTTGTCCCCGGCTGCTCGTCCCTTTCTCTCGAATCCGGCTGTGCACAAACGTAAACCCAGCTGAGCACACGAGAAGCAATTTCGGTTTGATCACCCCAAGACGAATGCAGAGCCATTGCGGGGCGTGGGGGGCACTCAGAGGGGGTGTCCCCCGTGTCCACTGCCTCTCCTGCCCCCTCCCAGCCAGACCCAGTAACAGGAACGTTTCTCAGTGCTGAGATTTCCAAGATCTTTCTTTCTTTCTTTTTCTTTTCTTTACTGTCAACAATACCTTTGTTCTGTTTTAGAAACAACTTGCAGGTGAAGCGTTGTAGGCTCCCATTTAACGATGCATCTAGCCATTGTACCGGGTTGTAATTTGCATACTTTATGTTGTTTTTTTTTAAAAAAGCAGTTCCAAAACGTTCATTATGGTCTGTTACGCGGTACATGTAATTATGTGTTTAATAGGATTTATTCATTTATAAAAGGAAAAAAAAACTGGCAGTTCTGCATTACCAGGAAACACCAAGTTTTTTCGATGTTTCAAAGGAAAAAAAAAAGCTACCCCCAAGAAAACCCAACATGATTGTGCTCAGAAAAGAGGTACTGTATCCTTAAAAGGCCTGTTCAAGCACTAAGTGCATTTACAAATCTCTGAGAATGTTTTTTTTATACTAAAATTGACCATTATATTCTACTGTGAAAAGTGCTGTCTGCACTAGATTGTTTTAAAAATGAGAGAAAACAACAAAAAAAAAAAGAGAGAAAACCCGCAAGCTGTGTGTCCGGATGTTGTTTTTCCCAAAGTAAAACCAGGCTATCATTGGATGTGTGTGTGGCTTTTGTTGGGTTGCTGTGGCCTCTTCTGGATCATCCCATCCCATCCGCGGGGGCAGGGAAGGGCCGGGGGTGCCAGAGTCATCTCTGTGGTACCAAATTTAATTGCATTCGGAGTTTGGGGGGTCCCCTGATCCGTGGGGTGGGACAGGTCTGGTGCGTGGGAAGTCGGCAGTCTTGGTTACATCGCTACCTAGAAATGCAAGAGCAGGTGGGGACGTCTCACAGGTGCAACAGTGCGCACCACCCAAGGCCACTGAGCAAATACAGCCTGTCCTAGGGTCTTGGCATGGCTGTGTCCTAAACCCCGGAGATCACTGGTGGCTTCCGACCAGGCCCGGTCAGCCAGGGGAGCCCTGCTGTCCCAAGGGGGTGTTCACTGCTGTTGCTGGCACCTGGGGTCCTTGTACCCATCCATCTGTGCCACTGGGCAGTTCGGTCCCCCTCCCCGGTGCCAGCGTGCCAGGGTTCCCAGGCGATCGGATTGGTGCCTCCTTCATTCCATGCCCTGGTGGCACCGCACTGGTGTTACCGACGGCATCTGCATCATCTAAAAACCCCAGGAGAAGGAGAGGCTCCTCTGTCACCAGGTGCTTGGGGCCAAATTGTCCTCTTGGGTCAGCACCACCGGTCTCTTCCTCTGTGTCCCTGGACTGCGGAAGGCGCCAGCCCTCACCTCCTCTCCTGGTGCTGAGCAGAGCTCTCCCTCTCGCATGCACTCTCGCTCTCATTTTCTTTATTGGAATTTGCAGGCCAAGATGTATCTTGCTCATAAGCGCTGTCCCCCCGCAGGATTCCAAATTAGATGCGGTGCCACCTGGATAACGATCAATCATTTATACTTGCCCTAGGAATTCCCCTGTAACTTAGAAATAAAAGCTGTCAGCCGGGATGGTGGAGCCGGGAACTGCGGCTTTCAGAAGAAAAAGGAGAAGAGAGGAACAAAGACACGGGGAGAGGACATGCCAGCAGAGCGACAGCGGTAAGGTATGGCTGGCTGTCAGCACGGACACCCTCCAGACAGATGGGGTGGCCCAGGCTTGGATGGAAGAGCAGGGAAGGCTGGAGCTGGTTCCAGGCTTATTTGCAAACCCTAGCCTCTGTGTGACTGGCGCCGGGAAAGGGAGGATGTCCCTCCACCTTGCTACCTTAATGCCTGTGAGGTCCTCAAGGAGGGGTGGGTGGAGGTGGCGAGCCACCTCCATCTTGGGTCTAAGGAAAGCCTACAAATGCCCAGCCGATGCGCCACTCCGGCATTTGTTCTTCCCCTCTACTATCGCCTCGCTCGGTCCCTCGGCTCTATCAAAGGGTCTCAAAAACATTGTCCCATGAGGGTGGTTTCTGCTCCACCATTTGATGGGAGCTGCCCACCCTGTGCCCGTGCTGCGCGGGTCCTTCCAGCGGGAGCAGGGTTGGCAAAGGACTTAGACGGCACCTGCCCCCCAAGGCAGGATTGCAGCCCCTGCACAGCGCCTGGCGCAGGGTGAGCTGAGGGAAGGGCGGCGTGTGGGACGATGGCTGCCGGTGCCAGTCTGAAATAGAAATCTCCCTGGGGATTACATGTGGGTCCCTGGACAGCATCCAAGCACGGAGGCGCTGAGACGTCCTCGCTCGCGACGGATCTGCCTCTGGCGCGGCCGGTGCCCTCCTCTCCGGTCTACGTGCCAGGGGCCTGCTTTGTGCCGGAGCATGGCCAGGCCCCTCACCCCTGCCCCTGGGGGAGCCCTGGGGTCGGGGTGCACCTGCCTCACACCTTGCTCAGAGATCGATGCCACCAGCCAAAGTCCCGGGGGCTTCCCAAGAGCTTGAGGCCCAGCGCCCGGGGCTGTTGGTAAATGCTCCGGGGATGGGAGGAGGCGTTTTGTTGTCTGTGAGGAGAAGGCAGGCTCCCCTCTGTCTATTGATGAATCCTCTCGCTCGGCTGCCTCCCCACTCTGCTCCCAATGCTGCTAATCCAGAATATATTCCACCCACGGTGACCCTATCAACTCAAGCCATGGCAGCAGATTTCTGGCCCAAACAATGAGCCGCTTGCATTAGGATAATAGTATTAAATCCCAAATAGATTTCAACTCCGGGTTCCTATCACTCAGCCTCTTGTCTCCCTCAGCTGCGGCGACGCTGCGACATATGGTGTTCCATTATCTGAGCCTCCGGCCTAGCAGAAAAAGGCTTTAATGCTTAAACAAACAGCGAGGCGGCCTTCGGAGCCCGCGTGTGTTCATCTGAGGATAAAATTCGAGCGCAAATCGGGAAGGAATGTGTTTTTGCTTTCTCACCCCGTGGCGCGCGGCCCCGCAGAAAGAAAAAGGCTGCTTTGTTCCTCCGCCCTCCTGATGATAGGGAAGAAATAGCCTAATAAAAATGCTGATGGTGCTGAACGCCTGGATGTTTATGCATCGCGCCCGGCTTCCGTTCAAGGGCAGCGTTTCGGCGGCGAGGCCGAGGACGGATTTGTTTGCCATTTGGTGCAATCCAGGCGATCCTGGAAAAATACGGGCCGGTTCCCCGTTCCGTTTTGCGTGGCCGCTGGTTTTTTGTTACACGAACGAGGTCTGGCCTCGCCGAGAGAGGGGCCGAGGCCCGCGGGCTGTGCAGGATTGGCTCGCAAAGTGGGGAGTAGGGGTGCGTGTGTCTCATTAGCATCGGGAGCCAGAGGTGATCCCCGGCGCTCTGAGCTCAGGCCCCGGCTTTGCTCGGAGCAGGGAGCGTTTGTCCCATTCTGCAGCCTGCGCCTCGGTTTGCTTCTCCCTGGCGCACGCAGCCCATGTGCTGAATGTGCACCTCGGTGCAGGAGGCAGGAGCGCCCGGCGGGGGGAACGAGCCGCAGGACGTGGCGGCGGATTCCCTCTGCTGGTGGAAAGTTGTTTCGTAAAGGTAGTCCTCGGAGATGCGGAGAAGGGGGTCCAGGAAAGCACCCAAGCATAACCTGCCAGGGGCCGGGCAGGGCTTTCAGTCCCACCTCAGCCCCTCCCTATTGCTCCTTGTCGCTGCAGGCGGGGGTCTCCGACAACGGGGAGCCCCACCGGGTGCGCACAGTGACCCGGCATGGGCCCCGGCCACGCTGCAGCTGGGAACAAGGCCCGAGGCGATGTTCAGCTCCTGCTCTGGGCTTGGCCGTGGTCGAGAAGGGCCCTCGGGAGGCCTCTTGTTCAGTCGCGCCCCAGGAAAAGGCTTGTTCGGGGATTTTTTTCTTTCCGAAGGCAACTGACAGCTCGGAGGAGCCGGCCTGGCTACTCTGTTCCTCCGAGTCCGCGTGAGCTGCTCCCTGCAGCCGCGTGCCCTCGCCATGTGC